ATATGATTGTGGTGAGAGAAGCTGTTTTTAAATCATTCATTTTCTAATGCAGGCCCAAATATAGCTACTTCTGCTGGTGGCCTTTCCTCCTCAGTAAACTCTGGCTTTGAGCTCATCTTTTAAGGAATAGGTTGTCAAGTTCAGATCAAATTGTATTGTTTCTTACCTCCTACCAGGAGCTGGATACTCCGTTCAGACTGCTGGGTCTGACTGTAAACCCTCTGATTTATAACATCACCAGAGTGGTCATCCTGTCTGCCGTGTCTGCTGTGGTCAGCGACCTGCTTGGCTTCAACATCAGAGTCAGTCTTTCTGCTTTATGTTACAATTACCACTGCTTGCTTTCTGTAATAATGGTGCAAGGAGCCAGAACAAAATTGCTGAAAGCTGCACTTCACCAACTTTACACTTCAAGTTAAACTCAAGTTAAACTTCAGCCTGTCAGAAAAGTTTATGGATGTAGAGGGAGATTTCTAAAGTTTGAGAAACAGCCTGCGGTGAATTACCCTTTAGGGTGTTTTAGGCCTGGGCTTGACAACAACAAATACTGTTTACTTATCACTGGTTCTAACAACCACAGTATTGTGTTGCATCATGGGAAATGTACTATCTGGTGATTTTTGTTGCCTGACTAGGGACTAAAAGTCATGATCATCACTGGCTGCTTCAAGTTTGGACATTTTTCAAACCTTTAAAACTTTATGGAAATGCTATAATAAATCAATGAAGCGGCCCTGAAATGCAAATTTAGATTTTTTTTTTTTTTATAGTTGCATGTGGCCAACTAGGTGTTGGGATTGATAGTAGAAACCATCTTGCATTGGTTGTGGCCATCTGGCAGACAAGCTGGCATCATGCATATTGAGGCTTTGGAGACATGATTGATGAGCTGTGAGTGAGAAAATGACCTCAAAAGTGCTTTCAAGTGGTTAGCACATAGTTCCTTAAATGACACTGTTAAGTAAAAGCAGGAAATACTTAAAGGAATAGTTTGACATTTTCAGAGATAGAGAGTTGGATTGAAAGATCTGTAGCACACAGGTCTGTGTAATAAGGAATTAGCTGAAGCCACGAGGCTGATACCTTAGCTCAGACTGGATACAGGTTGAAACAGCTAGCCTGGCCACAGCTTACTAATTATCCACAACATGTACATTTTTGTTTGTGTTTGGGTTAAACAGAAGACATGCGTGATTTTAATTGGTAATCTTTAGGGAGCCAATATAGTCTATCAGAACAGCCTGTCAAATGTCAGATAGCTTCTGAAACCCCCTCTGACATCAGACTAGAGAAGGCTGTATCCACCTATTTGTGTAACTTTTGGAAACTAACAATCCAACATTTAAATCCACTTCATGCTATGATTGACCAGCTGTGCTGAGGTGAACTTATTATTTGTGTCAGACCAAAGGTCATTTAAACCAGTGGTCCCCAACCCCCGGGCCGCGGACCGGTACCGGTCCGTGGATCAATTGGTAACGGGCCGCACAAGAAATCATTAATTATTTCCGTTTTATTTATTATCTGAGTCTGAACGATCTTTTATTTTGAAAAATGACCGCATTCTCTCGGTTACATCTCGGTCACTTGAGCGCCAAAACTGGCTTACTTGTGCGACATATTCAGCCTGCTCAATGAACTCAATCTGTCACTTCAGGGGAAAATGACAACTGTCTTCAAGTTGGCAGATAAAGTAGCTGCATTTAAAGCCAAACTGGATTTGTGGGGACGGCGCGTCAACAGAGGCATTTTGGACATGTTTCAAACATGAGACTTTGGGTGAGACTGAGCCTGAGTCTTCATTCTCCCAGCTGGTGCACGATCACCTGTCTTTGCTTTTAAAAGAGTTCGAGCGCTACTTCCCAACCACAAAGGACCCACGAACTGCCAAGGAATGGATCCGCAACCCATTTGTCAACAAACCAGGTGAATCCAGCAGGTCTGTGCAAGAAGAAGATCAACTGCTGGAGATCACAAATGACGGCGGCCTTAAAAGTATGTTCGAGACAACAACTCTGTCGGTGTTCTGGATTAAAGTCATGACAGAATACCCTGAAA